TAAGCCCTGAAAAATTGTTTTAAGGGAAAGATTATATAAAATTCAACAGAAAGCAATACTAGATGCTCAGTCAATGAATGTCAAATGTTTCCTTATAGGGAAATGGCTAATATTGCCATTACTATTAATGCAAAGAGAAAAAAGTGCAACTGAGAGGGAATCAAGTGGTAGTATTGGAATCAATGTTTCAATGCAAACTGACTGTAAGGCTTAGTTTTAATATTATATATATATATATATATATATATATATATATATATATCTTATTGAATGAATTACAGATATTATGTCTGCTAATCTTTAACAAAATCTGTTTATACTCACAAATAATCTTCTGTGTATTGATGTTAAAGGATGAGAGAAATGTGCTATAGCTGTTTAAATTTCTTTTATTTTCATTTCCCAAGTACTTTTGACCATCTTCCAACATCATCTTCAGGGGTGTAAGTAATACAAAACTATATCTTGTTCATTAATATAAGTATTTATACAAAGTTGTGCATTATTATCCATTACTGTAATTGGGAAATGAAAATAAAAAAAAAATTTAAACAGCTATAGCACATTTCTTTCATCCTTTAACATCAATACACGGAAGGTTATTTGTGAGTATAAACAGAGTTTGTTAAAAATTAGCAGACATAATCTCTAATTTATTCAGTTAGTCATGCCTAAAAGAGAATTTAGTGCCTAGATAGCCATATATATATATATATATATATATATATATATATTATATATAAAATGGAAACATTACTCTTCAAGGAAATTGAATTGAGTTCTCCGAGCTGGTGGTGTATTTCATATAGAGAAAAACATTAAAATTCCTTTCCTTTCTGCTGTGCGACAATGGCCTATAGGTAAGATATCTGAGTTATGTCAAATCATTCGGGTTTTGATCCTGGCTTGAAGCAATTGGACATCTAGCCACACTGAGGAGCTGTGATACAGCGAAACAGTTTGTCTGTGGATGATATATATATATATATATATATATATATATATATATATATATATATATATTAAAGGTAATAAATCCATTGGTATATAATCCAAGTGGATCCTAGTAATATAAAATATTAAAACTGATCCACAAAAAAAAAAAAAAAAAAAGAGTAAAAATGTATTTATTATTACAGAGCAACTAATTAGAACATATTAAAATCCAAAATCACCTCATATGGGGAATAGGCCTATTTCAACCGATGAAAAATTTGTCCATCTTATTCAACCTCGGTATATAGACTGAGTTCATGTCAGAATTAGAAATTTAACAGTGACAACTACAAAAAAAAAAAAACAGAAAAACAAACGTCACAAAAACTAATAGAAAATTTATCCATTTCAATGTTTCAGTCAGACAAAAAGCACAAGACAGTGGTCAGGTGGGAGCGGAAGGTATTCGTCTTAAAGGGAAGAGGTTTTATAAAATTAATCCCGAATATTAACCTTATGACATTAAATTGGGGTTATATGAAGAATGAAATGAAACTAAGAGAGGAATAAAAAGGGGTTTAAAAAACATAAATTATATACATAAAGTTATCTTTAGAAATAAGATATATTTAAATAAATAAAAATAAGTCATATTTAAATAATTTATATTAAAATTAAGTAAAATTATATTTTAAAAAAGTTTATATTTAGTATAAAATCAATAGGTTATATTAAAGAATAAAACATATTTAGAAATAAAAATAATAAAATAAAATAGATTATACATTTAAAAATAAAAAAAAAAAATATATAAATAAATAAATAAAATAAAAAATTTTTAACTTTAAAAGTTAAATCTAAAAACAAGCCTAAAATATTTAGGTAAAGGTATCTGAGTGATAAAAGGAAAGCGGGTTCTTAGAACAGAGGACAATTATAAGACATAATTAATATGGTGTAAAAGTGGAAATATAAATATTTGAATTAGTTATACATTCGACATTTGAAGAGTTAGAGAAAAATAATCTTACTTATTATAAAATGCAGATTGTGTGTGTGTGTGTGTGTCTGTACATTTATATATTGGATCGGATTTCCTACATTTTTCAACCGATTTCAACAAAACTTCACAGGACTACGTAAAATTACCTTGCGGTGGTTTTGACAGCGCCAAAAATTGGAAAAACACAATTGTTTTTGCATGAAATCAATTTGAAAACACGATTAAGAGGCATTAATGAAAGGGGGACAACTCATATCGAGTTATACTTATTAATATCGAGTTATTGAGTTATACTTATTATAAAACTCAGGTTGGTTGTTTGTGTGTGTGTGTGTTCGTTTATATATGGGATCGGATTTCCTACATTTTTCAACCGATTTCAACAAAACTTCACTTTTTTTGGCAGGTAGTGTTTCTTATTGTCTTGCACACTTTTTTCTTTATTTTTACATTCAGAATGCTTTAAAAATTCCATTTACAAGACAATTGTTTATAATAAAATTCTATTTAATTGGTAGACTCATAACGATTGAAAACAATGTTTTTGTTTGAGTTTGACCAATTCTTAAAAAAAAACAAAAAAAAAATAAATAAAACTAAGACATGTATGTCCATCAACCTTAAATAATAATCTTTGTCAATTTTATTTTTCAGTTTTTATGATGGTCGATATTTGATATTTGTTACACCCCTAGGCAACGCCGGGCTCGACTGCTAGTAGCTAATAAAGTAAAACCCATATTATAGAAATTTGAATTTGTTTTTATGTCAACATTTTAAAACTAAACATATATATATATATATATATATATATATATATATATATATATATATATATACACACACACACACACACACACACACACAGATAGAGAGAAAGAGAGAGATAGATAGAGAGAGAATGAGATTAATACAAATATAAAATTTGTTACTTAGCTGATTTATGTCACATATGTATGTATATATAAATATAATCTTTTCATCATTAATAATTACTTCAACAGATGAGAAAAATATCTCTCATATTTTCCAAAGAAAAAAAAAGCAAACACTTAATTACTTAAACAAGGTTCTTGCATGCAAAGGTCAATTAGCAGCACTCAATAGCCTAAAGAAGCAATCTGGGGACCTTTTCTTTTACAATTTATCTACCTATTACCAGGCACAAGAGCTGCTCAAAGGAGAATGTTTCTGAATAAGATTTTGTTCTCACAGTGTAAAATGAGGAGGAAGAGTTGCATATTATGAAAATATGTGAGATAGATAACGGTTGACCATAGAATTGAAGATAGATGTGATCAGGGAAGCACCCTCTCAGTAGTCTGTTGCACAATGTGACAATTCTGGGGGAAGAAATCTGAGTGGAACTTCCTCCTTACCAATGGAATATAAAGGGAATGAGGAGAATTTGATGATGTGTATGTGGCATGGCGGGTCCCAGCTGCAAAGGTTTGAACATTTACTTTAGTTTTAGAGAAAAGGCTAATGTTTTGTTTGTGAGAAAGGAGTTGCAGGGGATGGAAAATAATTCATCACCCACAAGGCCGTATAAACGCTTTTAAACTCATTAAAGTCTGGACAGTGAGGACTGGACAATACCAGTCCAGATATGGGAACAATATACCATTTCTGGTCTGGTCTGACTCTTGTAAAGATGGTAGTAAGAATTAGATCCTTTGTAGAGCAGTATAAGGAACTGAGCATTTTTCCAATGTCTCAGGATCCACTTGCTCAAAGCTTTTTTTCACCATTGATCTTATGTAGTGGATATACAGCTGACAGTTTAGATATTTCTGAACAGGTTTGGCACCATTCATGACCTCCATATGAAAATCTTGATCTGACAAGATTATTTAAAAGCAGAACTTGAGTTTTCAGTTTAATGGTTCCACTCAATAGACAAGTTATATGCCAGGGTTAGAAAAAGGCAGACAGGATGTAAGGAATATATATATATATATATATATATATATATCCATCTCACACACAGAAGTCTAATACATATTCTACAGCGTATTTGCAGAATTTCACATGCAATATTTTTTAAAATGCTGTCCATGTGTAGGTATTAAATGTAGGCCTACTCGAGTGGAATTAATTGTGCAACTGAATATGTGACCAAAGACAAAGTTTTAGAGAAAATGGTAACTTCTACTTATTAAAACCACTCATAACAATCAGACAGTTAAGCAACACGAGTACTAATTCTTGCGCAAATAATTAAGCATTCCAAGCAATGCTGAGGATACCATGGACTTTTTTTGTGAGCAACGACAAAGTTTTAGAGAAAATGGAAACAAAAAGCAAACTCATACTTAACATTAAAAAGAAGCGGTTGAAATTTCCAGGTCACATAATGAGGAAAGAGGGCTTGGAAAATCTAATACTCACAGGGCCGATTGAAGGCTAGAGTGATGGAGGAAAATAACGGAGAACATACTTAGTAAGCTTGTGTAAATGGATGTCAGAACAAGGTTTAGGAGAAATAACAAAAAAAAATTTACTAAGAGCTATAGTCAGTCAGTTATGTGCCATGCATGATACACGCTTAAGTGATCATGTATCTTTCGATACATGACTGACGCAGATTTTCTTTCCTGCAGTAGGTTGCCATTTCTTTCTGCAGTAGACCAGTTGCTATCCCAGGCTATAGAACCTGGTCTGTCCTGCTATTTACCCATAGCTGGGGAGAGAAGAAGTGGGTTCATACCTTTCCAAAGAATATTAGCACATAAGTGATTGTAATGGATTTGACTGGAATTCAAACTCGGCTCTCCAATTCCTCAAACTGAGCCACTATCCATTACTCCACTCCTTTTAAGAGCTATAAAGGACAGGAAATTGTGGAAGAGCCGTGATCACTTATGTCCTGAGAGGACATGGTGCATAAAGAACTACATCTGTTTGTGCGTACACTAAATAACACAGTCACATTTCTCACTTCCAGGAATTCTCTTTTAGCTTCTTGCTTCCCAGGCAACTTTGATCTTCAAAAATTTAAGTGCTATGTCAATCATTATCTTCTGTCTTCTTAATTTAAAAAAAAAAAAAAAAAAAATCA